ATAAATGAGGTCTAGACCAACCTGTCAACCTTGAGATCAATGTTCCTCAACCCCAGCAACTTTAAGTTGTTGGCTGGTAAATTCTGGGAATTGAATTCCACACATCTCAAAAGTTGCTGAGGTTGAGAACCATTGCTCTGGATGTATTAGGACCCCAAATCCTAACCAGTGCAATCTTCATTCCAGCACACCTGATGTCACTTTATAGGGAAAGACGTACATAGCTGCTTGCTATAAACAGATGCAGAACTTGGAAGCAAAATATATGTTTGCAATTCTATTTTTTATTTTTTTAAAGTCTTCTTCCCATTATCTACGCCAGCTGTAGATGGTGGTAATTCTTCTATGTAGTTCACTATCACGAAAGATCTTTGAAAGAATGAAAAATTATGGGTAGAAGTATTTATAAATTTATGACCGTGACCTAATTTCTGTCAGTATCTTACAGTAAAAACAGACTTAATGTTGCAGTTTTATTAACTACAAACCGGCTGAACAACTCTAGATTGAGACAAATTTCTTCAGTTGTTCAGCACTATTTTGTTGCTTATTTATTATATGGTCATTCATAATATTATCACTTCCTGTTTCCAAGTTACCAGCATACTATTTATTGAATAGCCAACACTCCAAAAGATAGGCTCAAGATCTAGACAGACCTGTACACTGATTCTATCTAACAAAATTAAATTCAATGATGAGAAAAATAAGGTTCTACATTTAGGCAATAAAACCAAACGCACAGGTATAGAATAGGTGGTGCCTGGCTCAATAGTAGTAACTGTGAGAGGGATCTTGGAGTCCTAGTGGAGAATCACTTAAATATGAGCCAGTAGTATGCTGCAGCTGCCACATTCCTAGGCTGCATTAACAGGGATAGAATCAAGATCACATAAAGTGTTAATAACACTTTGTAATGCCTATTGGACTATTGCATCCAGTTTTAGTCGCTATGATATAAAAAAGATGTTTAGACTCTAGAAAGAGTTCGGAGAAGAGCAACAAAGATGATTAGGGAAGTGGAGTCTAAAACATATGAAAAACAGTTGCAGGAATTGGGAGGTTTTTAAGAAGAATTGGACAACTATTTGTCTGAAATGGTATAGGTCAGGGGTAGGCAACCTTGGCTCTTTTATGACTCGCGGACTTCAACTCCCAGAATTCCTGAGCCAGCATAGCTGGCTCGGGAATACTGGGAGTTGAAGTCCACGAGTCATAAAAGAGCCAAGGTTGCCTACCCCTGGTATAGGGTTTCCTGCTTGAACAGGAGTTTGGACTAGAAGACTTCCGAAGTCCCTTCTGTTTTTCTGAATACCATCATAATGAATTCTGAATAAATTTTCAGAAAAAAGCTCACAATGCAGCAAATTAATATGCTATGGTTTAAATTGATTAATCCTTAGAAGATGTACATAGAGTCCTTGCTTATCAACAGTAATTGGGACTGGGATTTCCATTACTGATTAAGGAAGTTGTAAAGTGTGATATCATGTGATCACATTCCTCAGCGGCAGCAATTCCAGCAATCCCTGTTGCTGTTGTTAAGTAAGCATATGACTTTAACTTACAACTTCCTGCCAGCTTCCCACAAGCAAAATCAATGGGAAAGCCGGCAGGAAGTCTTAAGTCTCAGGAAGCTTGCAAGCAGATTGGTGGAAGGGCGAGTTCCACTGAGTGCAACTGTATGGGGGATGCTAGCTGTAGTCTGGCATGCATAAGCACTGCCAGGCAGGGGGAAAGGGGACTGCTGCAGAGGGAGACTGTACAGGAAAGTGGAGGGAGCAAATTCAACCTTCTCTGCCAGTTTCCCTGCTGATTTTTCTTGTGGGAAACTGGCAAGGAAGGTCCCAAATAATAATAGCAGGATGCTGCAATCATCACAAGTGTGAGCCAGTTGCCAAGCACTTGGATTGTGATCATGTGATTGGAGGGTACTGCAATGGCTGGTATTTGGAGAACCAGTTTTAAGTACTAAATTTCTAAAAAAAGTTTTAATTACTATTAGACTTTTCAAAACTTCACACATTATGCACGTTTTCTCTGCATTAAAAACTGTGAGGTATTTGAACTGCAAACATTGAAGTAGCTTTTGTTAAAGACAAATGAAATTAATAAGTGATTACATCTGGTTTTTTTTAAAGAATTCAAGTACTGAGAAATATTTCCTGCATGGCATCCTTGTGAATGCAGATCTTCCTTCTGAAGCTACAGGTAAGAATTCAATTCCTTTATAAAATGTTAATGTTCTAAACATTTAAAAATACATAGTGTGTTTTAAAAGTGCAAACTGCTCAATTAAATTCCTTTTACATTTCCTAAATTTGCACTAATGTACATTATTTATTCTTTTTCTCCGAATGGTCTTCCAAATCCTTTTTAAAAAAAACCTAAGTATTTAAACTGTAGGACCTTTGATCAAATTGTCAGTCATGATTTGATGGTTTCTAATTAAAAAAACAGATGACTTTTGAACTTATTATTTGATGGAGGGCAGAACATCGGCAGCAATGGTTGACTGCTCACTTTTAGTTCAGTTCTACATCTTCCTCTCACTTGTCTTTTTAAACCAAGGTTGCTTGTAATTTGGATTGTTTCTGTAAATCTTTTGCAGAAAAAAGTATCAGTGTTGTCAACAATAGCCTAAGTGCCCTAAAAGCTACAATTGGAAAATCTTACAAGTGTGTGGCAGAAGAGATAATTCAGGTTTCAGACAAAGCTTCTATCAATATATACAATGTTCAAGTTCAGGCTTTCAAAGTTGCAGGATACAAATTTGGAGCAGGTAAGGTCTCTTGAATATAGATTAAAAACATAGTTTATTGCAAATATGCATTCCTATTGAAGCTATTGAAATGTTTTGTTAGCAATTTAGCCCCATGCCCTTTCAAAACAGAGTTGATAAAAGTGTTCTAAGAGTCAACATTACAATTCCTGTGGCATGTAGACAAATTCTACATTAAAAAAATAAAATAGTCCCGTGAGAATGGGGATTGAGATTGTAGCCTAGAAAATGGGTATATACATTTTGTGTGCATGTGTGTCTTTATTTATCATTGGAATTATATAAAAACATGTCAAGGCTCATATAAAATAAAATACTAACAGGATAGCATAATGCCAATGGGAATTCTACAGTTCCTCCATCAAAAGGAATATCCATTGTAAGTGCCAGTCTTTGCAGTCTAATAGTGATGTCTCAAGTAGTAATTATTGCCTGCTTGTAATCAGTTATGCTGATATAAGATCCCCATATAAAACTGGCATATGTAAGTTTTCTTATCTATTGGTTAACAAGCTAATCTATCAGAGCATAGTTTAAATGGTTATGGTTGTCTCATCTTCCCCCAAAATTAATGAATAGCAGCTTAAGAAATGTAAAGTATTTTAAATGAAAGTCAACCTTTGACACCAATTTATTATTAGAATGTAAAGTGAATATTATCTAATGTAGCAGTCTTATTTAAATAACTGAGCCAACTGAAGTAGACAAATTGCCATCATTTGAATTTTTTAAAACAAAATTAAGGCAGATCAAGATGCCTCTAATTTTGCAAGAAGATAATACCATAATTTTTAGTAGGATGGTAACCTGGTGCAAGGTAGTTTTATACAGTATAATACAGTACTGTTGTTAATATATTGCAAGACTCAGCATTGCTTGTATTTGCCAGAACAGTTTCAAATGCTCAATAGAGTATAGAGGTTGGATTGGAATTTTACAAAGTTTATTTGATCAGATCAAATGGGAAAACTGTAATGTCCTGTTGAACATGCTTATGGTAAATAAATATCTCTTTGCCATTTCAAATTGGGAACTAACTCTGTGCCAGGTTTGTTTTGGAAAGTAGAACTTCCAGTTTTGAAAATTAAAATAAATTCTTTTATATGGCAGATCTGCCTAAAGCCGAGCTAAGGACTTCTACCACTAGGATCATTTTTGTGAAAACAGAAAATTATACATTTTATTTGATCATTGGCAAGTGAAGTGTCAAATTGCATTTCTTTAATTTGAATGGAGATGGCTTTTTTCCAAACAGATAATTCCTGGTTTTACACATTGCTTCAAGGCATGCGATTTATTTGTCCCAATGTTATGGGAATACTGCTTTATTCAGTGATTATAACAAATCATATTCTATTCTAACACAATGTGAGAATCCAGTCTATTTGTAATCTTAAAGCTAATTCTCCATGTGTCAGTCTACAGTTTTTACCACTGTATTCTGAATGGTGTGAATACAATTCTCTCAGGTGGAATTTTTTACATCTAGTGTAATAAATAGTATTGTAGTCTGGGTTTAGTCAGATGCTTTGACAAATTATACTCTATTGAAAGAATTACATTGTACTTGCCTTGCTCTTTTATCTATTTAAAATTGAATTACATTTATTTATTTTTCTTTCAGTGGAAGAATGTCAGCTGGATGAAAATAATATGTTGATTCCTATTGTAGTTGGTGCAGCCCTTGCTGGACTTGTCCTCATAGTGTTGATTGCATATTTAATTGGCCGAAAACGTAGCCATGCTGGTTATCAAACAATTTAATGATTTGCACTGAATTATACCAGCATGGAAGAATAGCAGTCGCAAGAAGCAGAAAATTGATTCCCATCCCCCATCTTCTCCTCAATTAGATTTATGAGGGAGCACAATCTTTTCCTTACAACTGTTTCTTGCAGTGTCTGCTTTACTAAATGTGAAATCCATTTTGTGGCATTTAACTATGCACAAAGAATAACTTTAGTTCTGTTTAATTTTGCTAATGGGCTAAGTATTTGCCCATCTAGAAACAGGCTGAAATTTTATGAATGCTTTTCTGAATTGGCATGGTTTATAATGTCAACTACTTAAATGAGGATGATATAGTTACTTCATACTCCACTTAAATTCAGATTAATTGTATTTAACAAAGGGAAATTTCCACTTTTCTGGTACTACCAACCTGTGCTGACTTAAGTTACTGCATTTACAGTAATGATTGACCAATTGACCTCTGCTATTCCCACTTTGCCTCTACCTAGGTGTGTATCATTAATCTTTAAATGCTAAGCTTGGTATATGCAAAGTGTGAAAATAAAATGTGGCTAACTCTTAATATATTTTTGGTCTGTCAGCTTAGTAGGAGCTGGCCCTTTTTTACATGAAAATGGGTGTTACTTTATTTTTGGTAAAGTGAATTTCAGTCTCTTTTGTTGGAAGTTCAAAGGAGATCCTGTTTCTGCACATGTGTACAATAAATTTCAATCTGTTAATTCTTGCTTTGACTTTGGCTGGGACTGTACACTGCAAGGATCAGTTATGAATGCATTGCCTGTAACAATGCTAATAAAGACTTTTCTGTATGTTCTCGGTGTTCTTTTAAGCAGTTACAAGGCTGCTTTGATTTTGAAGTAAATTAAGCTTGTTTGTAAAGTTTGGAGGGGTAACTCTATTACCTCAGATTCTTAGTTGTAAACTATAAGCCTAAAATCTAAATCCGTGTTTTGTATTTCAAATAATATTCCTTCGATCCTTGTATAATTGATTTTTTTCTTTGGAGTGTGTGGAGGAATTTACCATTAAACAAGTGGATCTGTGTTTATGGAATTTCCTTGTCACACATGAACCTGAGCTCTTGTGTTTGCTATAGTTTTATCCATAGAGATTCCCCACAATACTACAGCAAGTTAAAATGTTACAAAGTAGTAGATTGATTAAGAAAAAACAACTTGGTTATTCCTTGATAGAATAACTTCCCATTAGCAGCACATGGGAGTAACATAGGAGATTGCAGCTCTTGTACAACCGACAGTTCTGGGATGAAGCAGATTATTCAGGACAAAACTTCACATGAAACATTTTGCTCACTATAGAAAAGTAGAAAGAAACATAAACATGCAGAAAAGTAGAAACATAAATTGTTTCTTAATTTGCTGTAAGGTGTAACTCCTGGTGTTTTTGATTCTATCAAAGTTCACTATTCAGAATGTAAGCGTGTGTGTGCATATAAATAAAATAATCTCATTTAGCAGAGCCAGACAACAGAAAAAGGTAGATATGCTGTTCTTTAAAAAAAAAAAAGTGAGATTAAGTAGAGCACTAGTTTTCTAAACAAGGATCTCTACTTAAAGTCCAGAGCCTTAACATGGTTACAGTTCAAAAAATGATAGCTTCAAATATACTTTATTATATAGTTTTGTATTCTGTTATTACAAAAATGTCTGAAAATATATAGTCCATTTGTTGAAAAGGGATTACATCTACATTACATTTTATTTACATAATAATTAAAGTGTTTGTGCTTTTTTTAAATAAAAAAATCCCACTGAACACATGAAAGGCTGGCGCTAATTAGTGAAGTGTCAATGGCAGCCTGAGAAAATTGTATCTGAGCAAGTGAAGTAATGTTCATTTAGACTGAAGTAATCAGATTTGCTCTACACGTATCTCGTAGTTTGTTTATTGTAGCCATTCGCAGACTTCCAGGTTCCGTAAATATTTTCTAGAATTGAAAATTAAAATATTAGCATATACGACGATGCAAAGAAATATCTGTATGTGCTTCGTGGTACAAAATCACACTAATCAGAAAATACCATGAGTCAAATCCCTCTTCCTAGAATAGGATGCATCACATTATTAAATCAACAACTTACAAGATTCCATCCAGATTGTTACACGTGTGCATTAAGAAATACTTAAAATTCACTTGCAGTACATTAGAACATGAAAATTAGTGAACATTAGGGTCTTGTACCAATTTGGTCAGATAGCTATGGAGGAAAATTAGCCCTATATCTAAGTTTCCATGTTTAGACACAGCCTATTTCTAAATGCCAGCTAAATTTATGCTGCAATTGTAACTTTCTCAAGGTAATTAGGCTGGCCAAAAATTAGATGGGTCTTAGAACCGGTCCCATCAAAATTTTAGGGAATTTATATCTGACCCTAAAGATTTTTAATTGACTCAAAATAAGAAGGAATTGTGCTTAGGAATAATTGGAATACTGTGTTACATTTAAAAATATTGTGTTTCCAAAAAAAATAAATCCTATAAAGAAAACAAGTAAAGCACCAATCTTATGCATGAAAACTCCTAGCTTTCAGAGTGAAGATGGATAAAGAAGACATTGTAAATATCTATAAAATCATATATGGTTAATATGGCACATAGGAAGATAATTTTTTCTCCTCAGAATGAATACATTGGGGGCATCCACTAAAACTAAATACATGGAGGAGATTCAAGATTTAAAGACGTTCATTTACACAGCATGTTGTTCAACTGTTGAATTTGCTGCCATTAGTTACAGTGGCCATCAAAAATCATTGTAGGAGGAAAATTAGACAAATTTACATAAATCAGTCTATTAGTAATTACTAAGCTGGCTGGTTGCATCGTGACTCAAGAGACAGCATATTTTAAATATCAGCTGCTGGACAGTAAGAAGACGGTTCCTTGCTTGTTCTTGTTTGGAGATTTAATTTGCCACAATGAGATAGAATGGGGGACTCAAGGGGTCTCTGAGACACTCCAAGGTTCTACAGGGTTCTCCTTATAGAAAAGGACAGTATCTCTCAACTTTCCAGAGATTTAGTGCTATTCAGTATTTATGAAGCATGGGGCTGACCCTGATCTGTGAAACAAATTATATGGCTATTGACACTACATGAAGCTAATTGAAACTAACTTGACATCCCTGCAGGCAAATCATGAATATAAATGAATGGTAGACTTTACTGAAGCAAAGTGACTTTTTGAAAGTAAGGGCCTTGTAGGGTTAAATGTAGTTCCAGAAGTTTGATTGAAAGCATACCCATGAAAGTAAAATGGCATCTACATTTCCATTATCTATTATCTGTATATCCTTAGCTATTTTGGTTATGCAGAGGTGAGAGAACCTGGTTGACTCTACAATGTTGTGGATTATTTCTAACATGATCTGTGCCCATTACCAAGAGTTTGATCCTGATTGGCTCAAGGTTGACTCGCCTTCCATCCTTCCAAAGTCAGTAGAATGAGGATCCCAGATTGTTGGGGGCAATATGCTGACTGTAAACCGCTTAGAGCAGGTATGTCAAACTTGCGATGTCATGTGACGTCACGTGACATATTGGGACTTTTTCCCCATTGCTGGCAATGGGGTGGGCACAGTTTCGGCGTGACGCATCCAGCCCGCGGGTCAGCAGTTTGATATGCCTGGCTTAGAGAGTGTCCTAAAGCGCTATGAAGTGGTATATATGTCTTATGTGCTATTGCTAATATTTTTCAGGGCAAAGTGATAGTTGAACTCCTGTTGGATGGAGCCGTTTTGTTTTATATATTTGTCTCAGCAGCTCATGATCTCTTTTTTGTTTTTGTTTTCTTTTAAATTGTGAGCCTTCCAGAATTGTTGGGTATTGTGCAGCCTACACACTGTATAATTAAATACAACATATTTTAAAAATATTGAATTATATTTCATAAAGCCCGCTTAAACAATCTTATGAGCAAGAACTCACCATCCTTCCTCAATCCATCTTGCCCCGTTTGAGACTGCCATCACGAGGACTTTTTCCCCTCCCCCCACTTTGCTGATGGACCTCCAACATGACGGACTGTATTCGAGGAGGGAACTGCTGGCCCTGCGCGACTCCCCCATCGCGCAGGTATGGCCTAAATTTATTCTAAGGGCCGGCCTCGATGAAGGGA